CAAGATGGCAAGGGGGCCGGTGTGGACGGTCCTTCTGAGACCAGGGATCGAGATGGGAAGGGGGTTGGTATAGACAGTGTGGACGGCCTTTCCCAGCCCCCGAGACCAGGGACCAGAGTTGGGGCAACGATGGAGGGATCGGGGGAGGGTCTTTAGGGGAGGGGGAGCCAGGACAAGGAGAGGCGGTAGAGCAGGCACAGAGGGCGATGGCGGACGGAGATGTGTCACCAAGAAAGGTCTTTCCCGAAACATACTGGAAGAGGAGGGCTTGTTCCCCACGCCCCCCCACCCCATTCCATCAAGTTCCCTCCCATTGCGAGGATTCCGCGCGTGCGCACACGCCGCCCGGGCCTAGGGACTACACTTCCCAGAAGGCCGCGCGTAAAGGCTCCGGGCGGGGTTCCGGCTAGGTCTCCATGGCGAAGACACTTCCCGCCCTCCCGCGCCTAGCCATCGTGGGCGTGCGTTCGCGACAGCCTCCGCTCTGCTCCGTCGTCAGCCGTCCGTCGCTGGGGACTGAACCCTGGGGTCGGGGCCCAGGGCCACAGCTGGGTGGATGGGGGAACGGGGTTGGACCCGAGCGCCCGGCGCCTGAGTTCTGACTCCGCAGGGAGGGAAGGTGGGCGGGGGAAGGGTGGAGAGAGCCGCACCTGCGCAGTCAGACTGCTAGCCCCGCCTCCGGTCTCTCCCTCAGCTCCACCACTTCCGCGAACGAGCGAGCCCACTGGTTGGACCTGAGGTGAAGCAGCCAATCAGCGCCACCGCTGCTTCCCCGCCCCTCCTGTGGGAGAGCAAGTGCGGATCCTGCACTGAGAAGGGGATAGAGACTAGGAAGGGCCAGGGCGTAGCAGCACTGCTGATTGGCTCCCCTGGCGGTCCAATGGGTGCACTCGCTCTCGGAGGAGGGGCGGGGCGAGGGCAGCAGACTATGCTCTGTAGAAGACCTACCCTGACAGCCGTGCATGAGTCACTACCCTGCTCTCTCACCTGCTGTGGCTCCCTAATGTTGCAAGAGGGACCCCAGGCACCCCGCACTGCTCCCCCTCCCCCACGTGTTATGGCTTCCCAGTGCCTTAAGAGAGACCCTAGCCCCCCAGGCACCCCGCACTGCTCCCTCTTCCCCACCTGCTATGGCTCCCCAGTGCCTTAAGGGAGACCCCAGCCCCCTTTCCCTGGGCACCCCACACTGCTCTCCTCCCCCACCTGCTATGGCTCCCCAGTGCCTTAAGGGAAACCCCAGCCCCCTTTCCCTGGGCACCTCACACTGCCCTGCCTCCCATGGCCACATCCAGCCAGACTGCATGCCCCTCCTTCCTGGCCGCTCCCCTCGCCCCCTCCTGCATCCTTGGCATCTACAAGCCTGTCCCGGGTCTGCCCGCGGTGCCCTGGGGTGGTGGGCACATGATCTTGGCTTTCTCATGGCTCCCTTTCCCTTCTCAGCTCTGCCTTGGCCCCAGAGGAGGAGGCGGGCATGGCGCCCATGCTCCAGACCGCGGGGACCCCCCTGGTGAGTGAGTGACCGCCTGTCCACCTGTGGCCCTTCTGTCGCGGAGCCTGGGGCTCGAGAGCAGCCCCTCATTCTGGGGGAGGGGAGGCCCCGGGGTCCCAAGAGGGTGAGGGAAGGTCCCCTGGGGGGTGGGCGGCACAGCCAGGGCTGACCTCCCAGTGTCCCGGCCCTGGCCAGGCCCGAGCATGCCGCACTGACCCCGGGATGGGCACCTTCTGCGAGGCCAGGAGAGGAGGGGAGAGGGTTGCCTTTGAGTCCACGGGGTCCTTGGCCCCCCTGCTGTGTCTGGTGGCGAGGACGTCCCCACTGGAATGGCCACTGTGTGACCAAGCCTGCAGCCAGAGAGGCTGCCAGAGCCCGGGAGTGAAGGAAGGCCGGGTCCCTGGCTGGAAGGGGGGTGGTGGGAAGTACGGCGGGAGGGGGAAGGCTAGGAAGGGCTTCGAAGACTAGACAAGGTTTTGTGTGTGATCCTGGCATGAGAGAGAGGGAGGCCACTGGAGCTGGTGATTGGGGGGTAGGGAATGCCCCCCAGGCCCGAGGAGCAGTGAGTCAGCCTGAGGGAAACAGGGCTGGGGGTTTCCTCCTCCCAGCAGGCCACAGTCTCCACCCTCAGGGGGCTTATTCATGTCCTCCTATGGGGACCAAGTACTGATGATTGGTGGGCAAGGGGATCAGGATGAGCCCAAGAGACAGAAGGAAGGGGAGGGCAGGCCTTGTAGGGACAGCAGACAGGGCATGGAAGAAAAGAGGTTTTCAGGGCCACCCATAGGTGCTTGAGCAGAGGAGGGACGCCGTCCACCCCATGCCTGAGAAATATCCTTCTGGCGGTGGCCCGGGGATGGATGGGAGGTCGGAGAGCCTGGAGAGGGAAAGGTGGCTGGCCACAGCATTAGTGCTGTGCAGTAGGGGATAAGAGAGGGGACCAGAGTCCACAGACAATGGCCCTGATGCCCCTGGCCTCCCCTGATCCCGCCCCCCCGACCTCCCCTGACCCTTCCCAGCCTCCCTTGATGCTCCTGACCCCCCCTGCCTCCCCTGGTGCCCCGCCTCCCTCAGCCTCCCCAGTCCCCTCCCCTGGTCCCCCTAATCTCCTCTGCCCCCCCCCACAGCCTCCCCTCATGCTCCTGACCCCTCCCCCCTGCCCCCGGCGCCTCAACCCCCCCCCCGTGCCCCCCCTGGCCTCCTCTGTCCCTCCCCCCCCATGCCTCTGACCCCACCTGGCCAGCCCTCCCCACTTTTGCTGTCCCTCCCCTGGGGAGCTGATGGACCAGGGTGAACGTGAACGCGTGTGTGGTGGTGCTGCCTCTTACTCAGCACTCTCAAGGGCAGCCCAAGCCAGAACAAAATGTAATTAGGAAATATTTGACCAGACAAGTAGTAACGGGGGTAAGCCTCGAGGATGTTCCTTTGTGGCTTTCCAAGTCAGGCTGTGGCCCCAGGGAAGGAGCCCTGGCGGGGAGCCTGAAGGCCCGGTGCTGCACCGTCACTGGCCACTAGCCTTGCCCGGGCGGGGCTGGCCGGGCACCTGTCCAGCAGTTACAAGAGCATTCCTTTCCGGGGGCTGCTGAGGGCCCATCTGCTTCTCTGCAAAGCACTCAGCCCAGTGCCTGCCCCACAGTCAGGGCATAATGCATGCTGATTTCCCTTCCCTTCCCAGATTCTGTGACTGGTACATTCCATTTTCCAGATAAAGAGCTTGTGACTGGCAGCCTGCTTAAGTGATTTCAGATAAAGGGCTGTTCCTGTTCCTTTGTGGCCCATGGTGGGGTCAGGGAGATCTGCTGTGGCACCAGGAAGCCCCGGGCCTCCCCCCCGAGGCCACGTGAAAACAGAAACGTTTTGGGTGTTTTAGGAATCAATGACGTTCAGAGATGTGGCCGTGACCTTCAGTCCGGAGGAGTGGGGGCAACTGGGGCCCTCTCAGAAGGAGCTGTACCGCCAAGTGATGCTGGAGAACTATGGGAACCTGGTGTGCCTGGGTGAGGACCCCCGCTGCCCCTCGGCAGGGCCGGCCACGGGGAGGGCACAGGCGGCCGGGGGACGGGGCCTCCCTCGGAGCCCTGGCACGGCGCCTCCCTTGAAGTCCCAGCCCAGGCCTTGCACCCCTGCAAGGCTCTGGGCCCATCCCCCCTCTAGCGGGGGCGTGTCTCTGAGCTCCCCTTCCCCATTTCCCCGAACAGGACTTGTCCTTTCCAAGCCTGACGTGATCGAGCAGCTGGAGCGAAGCGAAGCCCCTTGGAGTCCAGAGGCAGCCGTCCCAGGAAGCAGCCATGCAGGTGAGTGGGGCGCCCCCGGGCAACGGGAGACCCCCGGAGCCGTCCTTCCCACACCTGGCCGGGCCCCTCTCCTGCAGCTCCCTGGCCTGTGGGGTCTCCCTCCCCAGAGCCTGGGGCTTCCCGGGAGTACGTGGGGCGCCCACAGCTGCCCACGCGTGCCCTGGCGGCCGTCTCTGCCGTGTTCCTTAAAGGAACTTTGTTCCTGGGGTATGGGTGGCCCCAAGGTTCTGTCCTGGGCCTTCTCCTCTCCACTGACACATGGGGCTTGGGGATGTCGTTCGCTGCCCTGGATTCAGTGACTGTGCCTGGGTAGCCGTCCCCCAGCTGCGTCTCCTGCCCCAACCTCTGCCGCCCCCCGGGCTCGAGCCTCTCCCTGCCCGGGGCCCCTCTGCGGTCCACAGACACCGGAAGCTGAGCCGGTCCAGAGCGGGGCTCGTTCCCCTCGCCCCACCTTGTCCTGTCAGGGGCAGCACCTTCCTCCCGTTCCCCAGGCCCCCTGCCAGGTGACGTCCCCCACACCTGTCCTTGCTCCTGTAGCCGTCCTGTTGCAAAGTCCTGTGGGTTTTCCTTTGTACCGTCTCCTGTACATGCCCCCTTCACTGCTCTTGAGGTCTGCCTGCCTCCGGCGTCTCCCCTCCTCCCTCCAGCCTCCACTCCGCCGCCACAGGGCAGGTCTGACCTGCCCTCAAAAGTCTCATCAGTGAACTCCAGGGATCCCCATCGCCACCAGCGCCGGGTCCAACGTCCTTCGTTTGGCATTCAAGGCCCTTCCTCCTGATGCCTCCCATCTTCCGAGTCTGCTTACATCTTACTCCCTCTTGGTAGCCCGCGGTCCAGCGACGCTGACTGCCTGGCTGTTCCAAAGAGGACGCTCCATCCCCAACTCTCAGAGGTTTTTCTGCTGTCCCCCATGCCTGAAGCGTTTTCTCCCGTCATCTCAGCCCCTGCACGTCCCCGCTAACATCTCACCTCCTGCAGGAAGCCTTCCCAGATGCCCTTAGTACCGGTGCACCTCCCTGAGATGACCTCCGAGCAACCCTGATACCTCCTCTTTGTCCACACTCACTCGCTCGCTGTGAGCTTCTTGGGAGCCGGGCCGTAGCCCCAGCATGTGGGACAGCGCCCAGCAGGCACACAGTAGGCTCTTACCAAATGCTCGCTGATACGACTTGACGGCACGCGGAGTCATGCTGTGCTCACGGGCGCCTCTGTTCCTGTGCCACGCCCTGTTCCTTGGACACGCGGGTAGTTTTCCGTCCCTGGTCTGAAACACTCACAGCTTCCTAGCCGGGGCTTCCACCGAGGCTGTAACGTGCCCCATTGCTTTCAGAAAGATGGCACCAGTGCCCAGCTCCCCCAGCGAGGCGACACGCACTTGTGAGTGCTTACTGTGTGCTGGGCACCGGCCTAAGGCTAGAGATGCAGAGAGGTGTGGAGAGCTCGCATTTTGAAGGGGGAGACCACATGCAAACAGCTACGTCCCTATGACATACATGCCACGTAAATGGGCTGATTCCAGAGGGAATCATAGCAGTGTGGGAGGGGGATTGGGAAAGGCCTCTTTGAAGGTGGGAGCTGTGCTGAGTCCTGTCTGGCAGGGACCCCAGGAGGCCGGGGTGAGTAGGGAATGCATTCCAGACATTGCAGACAGATGGGGCAAAGGCAGGAGACAACGTCCTGGGGACGGCGACAAGGCCCCTGGCTCTGGGTCATAGAGTGTGTGGAGGAGAGTGAAGCGTAAGAAGCTGGAGAGCGAGGAAGGGGCCGGTCGGTGAGGGGCTGCGGGTGCCATGTGGACTGTCTTGCATTCGGTTCTGGTAGTGGAGGAAGGCGCTGCAGTTTACTGGGTGGAAGAGTGAGGGGCGTTGACGTGGAAGCTTAGTGGAGGAGAGGCGGGAGAGGGGAAGGCCTTGAAGGCCATGCGGTGCGTGGCCGTGTCTGAGGAAACGAGGGAGGAGGCGACGAAGATAGAAAGGCCAGACCTGCCGAGAGAGTGCAGGTGAGGAGCTGAGAATCCTGGTTATCGCGAGGAAGAGGAGGGGACGTTTCTCTGAGAAACTCAGTACGTTTTTTTTTGAAAAGGTTGATTTTTCAGTGTCCACAGAGATGCGGTGAAAGGAGCTCAGTAAGTTGGGGTCATCTCACTGCGCAGGAGCGTGACGCGATCAGACGTGACTTGGGGGAATCCCTTTGGCAGCTGAAACAAGGAGAGATCAGATGGGGAGAGACTTAAGGCAAGGCAGCTGATCAGGAAGGTATGAAAATCCACTGGGCGTGGTGAGCTCATGAGCCCCGAGAAGGGGCGACTTGAGAGAGGGTGTCGAGGCAGCCGACTGAGTGTGAGAAGAGAGTGAGGCGTGGAGGAGGAGGTCACCTTGCAAACCCCAGTCGCTGGAAGGGCGTTGGGGCCCTCGGCAGAAGCAGGGAATTTCCAGAAAGTGACTTCAGCATTGGAGCGAGATCCCCAGGACGTGAGAGGAGCTGGGGTCTGCCCTGGGGGGGCCCCCGCTGGTGGGACATGTCTCAGTCCGGCGAAGGCCCGGCCGAGCCGAACCATTTTCTGAAGAAGGCAACCGACTTGGGGAGGACTGGAGAACACAGCAGACCAGCATTTGCGCAAGGAGCAGGAGGTTTCACCCAGAGGAGAATATTGAGAGGGGAAGAGAGCTGCCTTCAAGCGTGTTCCCGATGGCCCCAGAAAGCAGCACCGGCAGTAATTTGGAGGAGGCAGGTTCTGACAAGTTGAGCTCTGGAGCATGTGTTCTGTTCAGGAGGGCAGTCTGTAGGCAGAGCTGGGGCGGGGGAGGGCCCTAATGGGGTTGTGGTGGAAGGGATGCTGGGAGGCATAGGCCTCTAGGGTCCCCTCCCACCCTCTGCTCCTCTGCTTCTGCCGTACTTCAGCCAGGCTGATGTGTGAGCACACCATTGGGGTTCTAAGTACGGAGTGGTAACCCGGCGGCTGTTTGCTGGATGGATTGAAAAGGGGCAGATGTAAGAAACTGGCGATGGCGTCCTGTAGCCCATGGACCGTCCTGAGATGAAGAAGGCCTAGCTTCTGATCCTCGACTGTCTTTACAAACTCTGCTCATTCTGTGACGTTCCTTCTCGTCCTCGTTTGTTTTCTTAATCTGCTCTTCTGGTCAGAGAGGTCGTGCTGAGGTCAAGGCCTGTGGTCAAACACAGTGTGCGTGATCCTGAACAATTCCCTCAGCCCCACCCAAGGCGAGACTTTGCAGAGAAGGGCCCAGCCTGCATCCGTGGGGAAGGTGGGGTGCCTGCTCCCTGGGAGTCCTTTCTGTCCCTCCTCCTTCCGGGGCTGATCAATCTCATCATTTGTGTTCAGCTGTCCCTTTTGCCATGCTCACTGTAAAGTACGAGACTTCGTTTGCAGTGCCTTGAGTCCAGGCCACACAGCCTGCACTGGTGTTCTGTCTGGGCCCCCTATTCCATTCAGATCACAGCTATTTATAACAAAATAAGGCCTTGTTCTTCACTCCATGGCTCATATTTTCAGTATAGCTTTAGGAAGTAAAGTAAGCTTTAATCAGTGACCCTTTTAGGTAACAAAACTCTCTCAAATTTTGCCATTCCGTGGCACAAATCAGGTTGATTAATATTGTCTTTCTTGACCCCAGATGGCAGAGGTTGGAACAGTATTCTGTCACGTAAAGATGTTTAGTTTTTGTTGAAGGAGGAAACAGAACATAAGAGAGTTCATGTAAAACGTCAAGAATAGCAGATGTTTGCATTTTTTGTTTCTTTCAGGTCAGAAGCCTAGGGCTGAAGCCAAAGAGTCATCTCCACAGTGGGGCTTTTGTATGGAAGAAACATTTCAGAAAACACTCACCAGAGATAGTCTCTCTGTCTCAAGCTTGGGAGAAATCTGGGGAAATGGTGCTAGATTAAAGAGACAGCAGCAAGATAAAAAGCAACGTACCAGACAAAAAACCATCACTCAAAGGAAACCTTCCAGTGAAGGAAGAATCCATAAATATAATAAATGTGGCAAAAGCACCAGTCCACGGCCAGGCCTTTTTCCACAACAAAGAGAACCTCATAAAAAGGATTTCAGGCAACACTCAGCCCTAAAGAAAGGTAACAGAATATGCTCAAAGAAAATATTTTCTAAATTTAAAGAATATGGAGACTCCTCCAGCAATAATTCAGACCTTATGGAAAATCATAGAATATATAATGGAGAAAAAACTTCTGTGTGTAATGAATATGGGAAGGGCTTCTTTCAAAGGATGTGTCTTATTCAGCATAAAGGAAGTAATACTGGAGAGAGACCTTTGGAGTGTAATCAGTGTGGGAAGCCTTTTCACCAAAGTGGACGTCTTATTCAACATCAGTCAATTCATACAGGAGAAAAACCTTATGAATGTAATGAATGTTTTAAAGTTTTTCTCTTGAGCTCAGGACTTACCGAACATCAGAAAATTCAGACTGGAGAGAAACCTTATGAGTGTAATGAATGTGGGAAGGCTTTCCGTCATAGTTCACATTTCATTCAGCATCAGAGAATTCATACTGGAGAGAAACCTTATGAATGTAATGAATGTGGAAAAGCCTTCCGCTACAGCTCATATCTTACTCGACATCAGATGATTCATACTGGAAAGAAACCTTATCAGTGTTATGAATGTGGAAAGGCCTTTCGAGACAGCTCACAGCTTACTAAACATCAGAGAATTCATACTGGAGAGAAACCCTATAAATGTAATGAATGTGGGAAGGCCTTCTGCCATAGTACACAACTTATTGCACATCAGACAATTCATACTGGAGAGAAGCCTTATCAATGTAATGAATGTGGTAAGGCTTTCCGCCAGACTTCACAACTTACAGCTCATCAGAGAATTCACACTGGAGAGAAACCTTATCAGTGTAATGAGTGTGGGAAGGCCTTCCGCCTGAGCACAGGCCTTAGTGAACATCAGCGGATTCACACTGGAGAAAAACCTTATAAATGTAATGAATGTGGGAAGGCCTTCCGCTTGGGCACAAGCCTTAGTGAGCACCAGAGAGTTCACACTGGAGAAAAACCTTATGAATGTAGAGAATGTGGAAAGGCCTTCTGCCATAGCTCACAACTTACTCTACACCAGAGAATTCACACTGGAGAAAAACCTTATGAATGTAGTGAATGTGGAAAGGCCTTCCGTCAAAGCACACAACTTACTGTACATCAGAAAATTCATACTGGAGAGAAACCTTATAAGTGTAATGAATGTGGGAAGACTTTTCGCTTGAATACACAACTTACTGCACATCAGACAATTCATAGTGGAGAGAAGCCTCATAAATGTAACGAATGTGGAAAAGCCTTCCGGCGGAGCACAGGACTTAGTGAACATCAGAGAATCCATACTGGAGAAAAGCCTTATAGATGTAACGAATGTGGGAAGGCCTTCCGACTAGGCACAAAACTTAGTGAACATCAGAGAATTCACACTGGAGAAAAGCCTTATGAATGTAATGAATGTGGGAAGGCATTTAGGCAGAGCATACAACTTACTCTGCATCAGAGAATTCATACTGGGGAAAAACCTTACGAATGTAGTGAATGCAGAAAGACCTTCCGTCAGAGCACACAACTTACAGTACATCAGAAAATTCATACTGGAGAGAAGCCTTATGAGTGTAATGAATGTGGGAAGACTTTTCGCCTGAGTACACAACTTACTGTACACCAGACAATTCATAGTGGAGAGAAACCTTATACGTGTAGTGAATGTGGCAAGGCCTTCCTCCACAGTTCATACCTTACTCGACATCAGATGATTCACACTAGAAAGAAACCTTATCAATGCAATGAATGCGGGAAGGCCTTCAGGCAGACCATACAACTTACTCGACATCGTCAAGTTCATACTGGAGAGAAACCTTATGAATGTAGTGAATGTGAGAAGGCCTTCTGCCAGAGTTCACAGCTTACGCGCCATCAGAGAATTCACACTGGAGAGAAACCTTATGAATGTAATGAGTGTGGGAAGGCTTTCCGCCTTAGCACATACCTTAATCTACATCGGAAAATTCATACTGGAGAGAAACCTTTTGAATAGAATGAATGTGACAAGACTTTCTAAGAGACTAGAGATCTTATTCAATATCAGAAAATTTATCCTTGAGAGAAACCTTGTGATTTTAATGAATGTAGCAAAGCCTGCCTTTAAACAGGATTGATTTAATATTGGGAAATTGATAATGGAGAGAAACGTTATGAATGTAATGATTGAGGGAAAACTTTCCTGCAGAGTAAATGCCTTTCTTATCATCAGTTTATACTAGTGAAACAATCCTTGTGAATATAATGAATGTGACAAAGCCTCAGTCCAGACAACTTGTTGATCTTGAGATAGTTCCAACTGGAGAAAGGACTGATTGTTAGGATTTCCGTAGCTTTGAAGTTGTAAAGAACTTTCAAGGTCATCTGGTCACAGAAGCACAAAATTTGAGAGTTGGAAGTGATCTCAGGGCCGTCTGTTCCAACGCAGACACAAGGCATCCCCATTGTAATGTTTTAAACATGATCACCCAGCCTCTGCTTGAAAACCTTACAGGAGGGGGAGCCCACCACTTCTCATGGCAGGTTTGGTGACTAATTTTTACAGTTATTCCTAATATCAAAACTAAATCAACCTCCTTCCAGCTCCAGCCCCAGCCCATCACTACTTATTCAGCCTTCTGTAGCCAAAAAGAACAAATTTAATCCCTCTTCCATGCCATTCAGATAGTTGAAGATGGTTATATCCCCTGAGAAACTCCCAGGATAAATGTGACCCCCACTTACTTCAGTTGATCCTCATGTCATGACTCAAGGCCCATAACTGTCCTGTTTGCCCTCCTTTGAACACTATCCACCTTGTCAGCGCCCTTAAACGGGTCCCCAGAACTGAACACAATCCACCAGATGAGGTCTGATGACAGGACAGTGGGACTGTCATTGCCCTTTTTCCTGGAAGCTGTGCCCCTCAACAGAGACCATGATTGTATTGGGTGTTTTGGCTGTCACATCATGCTGATTGATTGGTCACTGCTGATTTCTTATTGAACTTACATTTCACTCAAACCCCCTGACTGTTTTCAGACCAAGTGCTTCATAGCTCAGGGGTTCTTAACCTGTGGTCTATGACTTAACTTATAAAAAAATTATATATATATATTATATTATATGGATTGTATTTCAATGTAATAGGTTTACTTTGCCTTCCTGTGTGTTTTATTCTTTTTTAAATAATTTCATAAAAACTTGTTTTTATGAACCCCTGAGAAAGGTTTTGTAGGCTTCCCTGGATGCCAAAGGGGTCCATGACGCAAAAAGGAACCTTTGATCTAGCTGCATGTCCCACATTTTCAACCTTTCAAGTTGATTTAGCACATTTTGATATAATTCAATTCAAGGAGCCGCTTTGTTCCAGTTAAAAAGGATGATTAATGGTAGGCATCTTAAGTGCCTACTTTGTTCTAGGCATTGTTCTGTGTTTTGGGGATACAAACACAAAAACACAACAATCCCTGCTTCAAGGTTCTTACATTCTATAATTAATATGCAATATCTACATAGATAAATAGGAAATACATATCAAATAATAACTTCCAGGTCACATGACCAGTGATATGGAGGGCTGGATGTTTTCAACTGTTCAGATTAACTCTTCCTAATGCCTTCCTTGGGGCTCCTCAGGCCTTTCTGGAATCAGACCTGTCCCCAAATGGTTAGCTCCTTCCTGCTATGTCGGGCCCTCCTGGGCCTTATGGGACATAGCTTCAATACCTATGAGGCTGGACCTCAGAGAAGGGCCTTGAACAGTCTAAACACTTTCCTCCCTCAACTTTTATGTTCCTGTATCTCAGAGTTAAAACATATCTAACATAAACAAAAGGGAAAGTATAGACTTGAATAAACCGTTGGAGAATTTAGAGCTGAATGATTTCTAGCACCTTCTAAATGGGGCCACGAGAGAATGCACATTTCTTGTCCTCCCATGGTGCTTTCACAAAAATGGATTTTATATTGGATCCTGCAGGATCAAATGAAGGAGCTGGTGGGGGAGATGGTGATATGGTCAGACCTGTGTTTCTGGAAGATTGGTTAGACAATTGAGTGGACAATGGACTGGGCTAGGGAGAGATGGGATGGGAAAACCAACCAGAAGCTGTGGCAGTTATCTGGGCATGAAGTGATGAGGGCTGGCACCAGAGTGGGGGCAGTGTCAGAGGAGAGAAGGGGGCATTTACAAGAAATTTCATGAAGATAAAATTGACAGGACTTGGCAACAGATTGAATATGGGGAGGATGAGAGTGAGGAGTTGAAGATGACATCTGCGTTGTGAGCCTGGGTGACTGGGAGTGGGGTAGTACCCCTCCTTATAAGAAAGAATTTCAGAATGGGAGGAGTTTGGGGGAAAACATGCCCATGACTGAAGACTGGCCAAACAAGTGGTTGCACGGAATTGTAATGTGCCACTACTGTGCTGTGAAAAGCAATGTAATGAATGCAGAGAAAAAAAAGGGAAGACATATGAACTGGTGTCAAAGAGAAGGAAAAGCCAGGAAAACAACGAGTACAAGAACGTAAATGGAAAGCAAAACAAAATAATTGAAAGTGATGCAAAATTATAATGACCACAGTAGTCCCCACCCAAAAGTGTGAGAAGACATGTGCCCCTTCTTTGCAGAAGCAGAGGGCCCTAGCTATTGCTACTTAGAACATCAGACTTTTTTGAAATATTGGTTAGTTTCGAGGCAGCTAGGTGGCACAGTGGATAGAGCACTAGCCCTGGAGTCAGGAAAACCTGAGTTCAAATCTGACTTCAGATGTAACACTTACTAGCTATGTAACCCTGTGCAGGCTACTTAACTCCAAGTGCCATACACACAAAGAAAGAAATATTGGTTAGTTTTACAGAACTCCTATTTTCTTCCCATTTCAAAAACTTAAGAGGAATGGCTCTCAAACAGGTTGGGGAGAAGGCTACAGTGGAAAATGTAAGTGATTTAGAAACAAAATAAATCGGGGCAGCTAGGTTGGCACAGTAGATAGAGCTCTGGCCTTAGGAGTCAGGAAGACCTGAGCTCAAATCCAGCCTCAGACACTTGGCACTTACTAGCTGTGTGACCCTGGGCAAGTCACTTCACCCCAATTGCAAAAACAAAATAAATCAAAAATTTATTTTATAAGCAATACATTAAGGTATTACCTATTGACATTTATTCACAAACTCAAATGGGTCTGTGATCTAATCCATTCATGAGTTCCCTCCAACAAGGAAGATTTCAACTCATCTATTCTAGCCCATCCTGTGTGGCTCCTGTTTATGTCATCTGAAAATTTCATCAGGGGCAGCTAGGTGATGCAGTGGGGGGCAGCTAGGTGGCGCAGTGGGGGGCAGCTAGGTGGTGCAGTGGATAGAGCACTGGCTCTGAAGGCAGGAGGACCTGAGTTCAAATCCAGCTTCAGACCAAACAGTTGACACTTACTAGCTCTGTGACCATGGGCAATTCACTTAACCCCAATTGCCTAAAAAAAAAAAAAAAAAAACTCATCGAAGGGGGCCAGAGGTGTGCTGTTAAATGTTTAACTGCTGTCTCAAAAAAAATTAACAGAACCACCCCAAAATCCCACAGACCACTGCATAGCACATTTTAAAGTTTAATTTGCATTATTAATAATTTTCACTTTTAGTTTAGACAATCCACAAAACAATAAATCAAGCCCTGTTTTAAAGCATTAGCCAATTTCCAAGATGCAAGTGCTCAAACTGAAAATTTAACAATAAGCTGTCACAAAACCAGTTTCAGCTGGCTCTAGCACACACGTATAGGGGTTCCACCCAACCTGCTGGAGTCCTGCTGTGTTTTCGGCCAACATGACCGGGGTACCAGCGGGGCCCTCTGGCCGTCTGCCTCTTCTTTCTTGCTCTTAACATGTGAGCAGCCCTTCTGTTTTCCCTCACACACAACTCTGTGATTTGTTACTCCCGCTCTCCGACATTGCTCATTGGATGCGTGGTGCACCCTGTTCACCTCCACCACGTGCCTCTCTAGTATCCTCTGTGACACTCATTTTTAGTTCTTCCCAGGCCATAGTTCAGTGCAATTCAGGAGCACGTCAGTACATCGTCCCATGATGTCACTGGCCCCGTTCGACACCAGAGGATGAACAACCATGGCAGTGAGTGTTCCACATGTAGCCGCCATGGAACCGGATCAGGAGAATCTCGGGGGGAGGGGGGCCCAGTAGAGGTCATTGTAAAGACAGTTTAGGGCACCTTCCCCCACCCAAGAGAAATGGACAGAATTGATTTTCTTTTTTTTTTTTACACTTTTACTTTTAAGCTGCATTAGTAACATTTTCTTTATCACTTTCTTAACTTCCTTAACTTCATCACTTTCAACACTCGTCAAAACAATCAAACTCTGATTTGTAGTTTGCTAGTTTGTTTTTTTTTATTTTAAAATTTATTTTAAACTTAAATACAAAATGAGAAAAGAAAAATCATTGTCATGTAAACAGCAGAACATAAGAGAGGATTCAATATAAATCAATACATTGCCATTTCAGGAAAGCCTATGTAATAAATACTACACATTGTCTTCAGAGCTGCCCAGCTTTTCTTTGCTTCCCCGTAGGTTTTCTTTTGTTCTCTGCTGTGCACTTTTTACTTTATTTTTCCCCCTATCTCCCCCACCCTCCCTAAAGAAGGCTACAATTACGTGTGGATATATATACATGAATATATAGATATAGATATCTATAAATATATACATGTATACACTCATAAACATACATGTAAGACTGTACTATGCTTATTTCTACTTGTAATCTGTTTCTCTAAAGGTGGATAGCATCTTCCTTCATAAGTCCAAGTCTTTCCATGTTATTCTAGATCAACCAGCTCATCATTTCCTACACCACAGCAGTATTCCAACCCAGTCACATCCTATCTGAGAGATTGTCTATGAAAGTTCTGCGCCCCCCCCCCAATTTTT